GGTTCTTGAACATGTCGAAGAATGTTCGTTTCTTGCTCTCGTTTGACAGGTTGTTTGACGATTTGCATTCATGCAAGGGAATTTCAACACGATTGAAACGAGATGAGGTACGAATGTACCTAAAATATGCAGGAAGCTATTAGGTTGGAAAGAAAGTTCTGCAACACTCTTTCCAAAATTTTCTTTTTTTCTGAAAAATTCATAGGTAACATTTATGACTACCAAATGATAGAGCATTCTCAAGGCTTCAATCCACGAGGTGGATATAAGTTCTGCAGTCAGTAGTTATCCAAGAAAATTCAAAAAATCTCGACCACTAGCAAATCCGTACTCCGAGTCACTGTCTAGTACAAATGTCTACAAAACCATGGATTCGTGTCAACGACTGACACTATCTGCAATAGCTTCTAATGGCATGCCGTTCAGCGATACAGCGTGTTTCACCTTTACCAGCGCTTCCGATCTTTTGATATTTTTATAAGAAGCCAGCAGCATCCCTCACACTCCATTACAGGTAGGGCTCTTACAGAAGCTCCACTACATACCCTTCGTTATGGGCACCATTGTGTAGGCAGTGGCCTAGGTTGTGAAGTACCAGAAGCTGGCCGAGGTAGCTCGTCAAGAGCCCTCGTACCGCGACAATATTCATTTCTTTCATGACATTGCGAATCACCATGATCCGAAATGAGCCCGGTAAGAAATTCTGGGTTGCGGCAAGATTTCTTTCCTCTCTTAGCGTAATCCCCTGGTCGAGCTGTAAATAAGTGCTACCTATCCTGGACCTTTAATCATCATCTTATAACGAAATAATCAGACGATCAACTCCAACTCGAAAGTGAGGTCGCCTCCTTTCTCGACTCGCACTCCGCTGGGTTTTGGCAAGGAGGATCAAGAAATTTTCTGAGCGATGGAGACAAGTGGTGGACACTCATGGTAGATATAAGACCGGTCAGAAGTTGTAACCAAAAAAGATAAAATTAAAATCAAAAATTTGAAAAAGTGTTGCAGGACTTTCTTTCCAACCTAATATATTGGCTGGATCAGAAGGGTTTCACCGTTCAAACTTACTTGGAAACGCCTTTGTTCTTTCTGTTCGTTATAAGCCAATGGATCGATTCGGGTGTGAACCTAAAAGAAACCTATTGAAGGCATCGATTTTCAGGCGAGACGGATTGACTCTATGGACTACTCTTTAAAAAAATCAGTCGAGGAAAAGTCTACTTACCAGTAGAAAGGTATTGTGAGGAGACCAGGAACGGAGACTGCAAAATACAGCCACCGCCAGTTCGAAATAAACAGCCGTAGTACGCCAGCAGCAATATACCTAAAAAATGAGCTCTAAGGGATATTCCCTCGGTTCATTTTCTAAATTTTCTTTTTTATTTTCTTTCTTTTCTTCTTTCTTCTTTCTTTCTTTTCTTTTGGTCGAGGGTAAACCGCCCGTTGGGTATTCCTAAGCGAGGGGGGATTGTTTGTGATTCTTGGGAGGGATGGCGTTCTCGAAGAAACACGGAAAAGTGGATTTTTGAAGGTATAAGGAATGGGAGCTTTTCACGAGATATAGAGAGAAGTTTCGCCGTTCCAGCGTCTCCCTATCCTGCTTGTAACGCTCGTAGTCTTGGGCTGGGTTTCGAAGTGTGTCAGGTTGAACAGGTCAGCGAGCTGAACGAGACTTGTGGCAGAACACTCGCTTTGGAGGAGGGATCGTGCTTGGACGGCCGTTGCCCAGAGGAAGAGGGCCACCGTCCATTTCACGTTCTGCCCAGCACGACGATTGACCCTGCTTGCGACCCAACCCCTATCAAATGCTTCAAAAAGTTTATCGAAACGTACCCGATCACCCAAGTGATAGTACCCATCAGCGGTATCAGAGAACGAAACTCTAAAGCGACGGACTCCATGCACAAGACCCATCCGATCACAGAGAAACCCTGAAGTTAGAATTACTTTCTAAAAGAATAGCTCTTTTTGAGTGAAGTAATATCAAGCCGCCCGAGTATTTTATGAAACGGCGTACCCATTAGGAACTATAGAGTACCTCGTTGAATACATGCCTCAAAATAAATGGAGAAGCGGTCATATCCAACCACATAAGGAAGAGGAGGTATTTGTGTCTATCCAAACGATAATCTCAATTTTGCATCAGGAGGAACCCTTTGAAGTGTTGAAGTGCCTTTTTTACATCGTTTCTGCGCTATTTCTTCAAATATTATGATGTTTAACGGCATTAGTGCTGGATTGGTCAAGGGCTATTCGTGTCCCAGGAGTATGAGGAACGAGCTTGATGAGTCAAAGAATATTCGGAACGAGCTCCAGGGTGGTGAAACGGATTCCAAGGTGAAAGTCGCTTTTCGCATCCCATGAGAGGTAGCTAACCCACCCTGCTGCTGCATACATACTTCGACTCCCTAGGCTTCAGCATTCAAGAAAAATCCTCATCCCAGACTTGTCCTGGGTCCCAATTCCTTCCTATTTGAATTGATTCGAAGCCGCATTCACAATGCCAGCGGGTTCATGAATGAGAATAAGTTTTCTGCGTTGACGCATTTCATTTCCTTATTTGGGTTAATATTTGAGCACCAACTCACCGTGGTGGCCACTCCAGCAACAAATCTGAAAATAAGGAAGATCACGTAGTTGGGCGCAATAGCACAGATCAGATTTGACACGACGGCCACGTAGAGGGGAATGAGGAAGGTGAGCCGACGACCGAAAAGATCAGAAAGTTGCGTGATGATCGGTGCACGAGCATTCCGCCTAAAATTGGTTTTGTTGCTTTGGATTTTTTCTCCTCTTTCCGAATATTTATATTTCCTCTGTTCGATTCACGGCTTTCAGGACGGTTGGATATGATAGCAAACGTACCGAGCATGAATACTGAGGCTCCATGTTCTACTGATTCGTAGTTGTCGCAGACCAAGTTGAACTCTGACGCCAGTGATTGGTGATTCGTGTCCGTGTAGTTGTACCTGAGCGCTATTCAACTTGGAGTTTCGTGCTCGTTGCTGGTATTTACGTGAAATCTATCCCTTGTTATTTTACACTAATGAAGAGTCTTATTTCCAAGTAGGCCGGGAATAGTTCATAGCTGGCATATGGGTTTCCTACCACGCGCATAGCTCAGGGATTGAATCTCGGATTGTGCGCATTCCAGGCTGAGCTAGCGGACCTTGTAATCCTTCAGTGTCGGTTAGGCTGGTAGCCACATATTAGGAAGATACGGCACATTTTGTCATCGGTCTGGCCCCACAAGTCGCTGTGTGGGCAGAAACCGCATTCAAATTACCCCCACGGTTCAAAGGTGGGGAAAGGAAGCGCTGGGCGCGTCCAAACCAGGTATTGATTCAGCGACCTACTGTTTTACCTGCAGTTTTTCCCGCGCTGCAGAGGGCATATCGTGAGGTGAGGTTGTATACGAAGAAGCGCCGCTTTCTATGCCGAAACGGCGTAGGTGAACTCGCTCAGGCCAACAAGGCCCCCTTTATTGAGCACTCGGGCCTTGTCTTAGAAGACCAAAAAAGCTGATCCCCACATCAGCTGACCTTAGAATTCACAGTGTGATCTAAAGCGCATTAAAATATTACTGTAATTGTGAATACATGTAAACCATCGCGCACTCGTATGATTGAACTTTGAAAACTTTGACCTTTAGGTTTGTGCTTCTTACTCCCAACACGTATTCGAAAAATTTGTAATTTACCAACCTTGCGCCAGGTATCCGATCACAAGCAATCGTCCAATTATTGCTGTCCATAACATTGCACTTGTCCACGACTGTGTAATCCTGAAAGAAGGATCTTATTTTCAGTGAGCCCCGGATTCCGTTATGAATCGGTACTTTTAGGGCACCTTTCCCAAAAGGGACCCCGACCACTGACGGGTGTGTGTCAACAGGATCGTCCACACCGTCGCTGTGGTGAGCGTGGCCGCGACGTCGCAGGCTGCATTGGGACGACCTTTCATGTGTGCGTCATTCGGATTTGAATTATGGAGGGCGCCAAGCCGAATCCTCCCCTCAGCATTCCCTTTCCTCATGCGCGAATTGTTACGTGACTCCATTGAAACCCTCTCTTTCTGCATTATTGTATAGCGAAAAATACTGCTAGTCTAGTGTAGACCCTTCTGTTTTAAAATGACCTTCTATTTGAGCACATATAGGAACATATCCCGCTGTCGCTTTCAACGAGGAATCACTTTCGCATCAACTGACTACTGTGCTGCGAAAATTTTAGTGCTTCTATCGTCAACTCAAAAATCGCTGCGCCCCAATGCGAGTCTCGTGACGTCGTGCAAGTCCGCCCGAGCGCGCTGGGGCAGCGAGAGCACGATCTCGTTGTCCCCCCCCCGTGACCCGTCTACGTTCCTCCCTTTTCGCCGCGTGACGGGCTTCCTGACGTGTCCCCGTGCTTTCTGTCCTATACCATCTTGCCACAGCATGCGACCGGCACTTTGGTTACATGAACGGTGAAGAACCAAAACCCCCGAATTTGACTCTGCTCATCTTGGCGAACGCCCTTCTCACTGCTCGCATTTACCTTCCCTCCTTCTCTAACCCCTGCCGATTTTGCCTGGTCTCTCTTTCTTGGAGCCGAAATCATACACTTCGGTAGTAAGCCCCGCCCACCTCAGTGCATGCCCGCCACTTTGCAGCCTATGGATCACTTGAAGTGTGCTTTGAACACCACGTTTTATCACCAAATTTTTTTTCTGTAATCCATCTGAAAATGGATTCATTTTCTGGGTAACTTCAGACCGGTCGTAGCCTCGTCACGAGTAAATTCTTTAAAGCGCGGAAGACCTAATGAAATCGCTCACCCAGTGCACTCCATCAGGAGGGCTGATTTGACATTCGAATTTTGGATCCTCAGTGATAAACGGCATCACCATCATGTTTGATGGCAAAGAGAATGTGCACACTGTTTGTTATAAAATAAGTGATCATCTGAAACAGCAGAAAGCTTTGAGAAATATGTTCGTCTGTTAATTTTCTTGCTCCAATGAGAATTCGAAAAGGTGAATCTCAATATTTCTGACTTAACTCACCTGATACCTTCCATATTTCCCATAAGCGGAGAGAATTTTGTCGGCATCCAAATGGAGGTAGGTTGTTACGAGCGAAGAGGTTCTTGTCCTTTCCTCTGGATGCATTGGATCAGACGCCGCCTTCAATACATACAGTGAGACGGAGAAAACTCGTTACAGTCTTTTGATTTACCCTCTAGGCTAAATAAGGAGTACTCGACGGGAGGCCCGCCGCGCGGTGAGAAAGCAGAGACGCAGACGGGTCAGTGGACGAGTTGCAGCACGTGCTGTAGCGATTAGCATCAAATTAAATAAAATGTACTACAGTACTTTCCATCGCTCAGTGCGTACCGCGACTTGGCCGCAAACCCGTTTGCATCCCTGCCTTCTCGCCGAGCCACAGTCCTGTCGTATACCCCAAATTTTGTTCAGACTGCAGGGTGATCTGCTTAAGGGCAGTGAGACTATAATCTGGCTCTTGGTAGGGGGCGAATATGTCTAGTATAAAGAAGATTCAGGGGTCAGAGGCGGATCAGACGAAGTTCGAGGTTTTCGGGGCCAGGAGCGCGCTAAAAGGGATTTGATAAGGCCTATGTCTGATCCTCTCCCTCAGCCACTCAGTGTGGCATAAGTTGGAGGATGCAGCACCACTGTAGTCATGAACATTATTTGGGCGAGAGAGCGTAGGAGAAGGCAGCATATTGAATTGATTCTAGGAGCTGAGTTCAAGTAGTACGTAAACCATTCCGGCCCCAGCTTCAGTCCTTCATTAGCGTTAATTCTTCAAAATTCGAACTACCCGCAAGTGGAAATACGGTACGGTAGCGCACTCGATTGCCAGGTCACGTTAGCGATTGGCGTCGGTCACTGAGGGCGGTGTTCAGTCCTTCCCCCAGGGTAATGCGTCCCCCTCCTCTGATTCGATCCTCCTCCCAGCTTTGGGAGAGGCAAAAACGATTGGACTCGCGCCGTACTCTGTTTTCATCTGCCAGACAGTTTAAAGCAGCGCGACCCCTCAGGGAAAAAGAGTACTTCAACAGTGAAGGGTAGTATTTCGAATCCGGTTCAGTTCTTGAGGAGTGGGACAGTGAAGGGTAAATAGTGCCCTCTGGCCCTCGCATTGATGAGGCAGAGTATAGCATCCATGTTACTTGTGCTAGTTGTCGTCTCATGATAAAGCACAAGAATGAGGCTTCCGTTTGGGGGACTTTAATGCGTTTTTCTTGGTTTCTTTTTGACGTCTCCGCTTTGTTTAGCATTTTTTCCCCATCCAGACAAATTAGCGTAACTGCTGCTTTGTAATGGTAATAGCGGTACTGTACCCTTAAGCTACAGTACCATTATTACCATAACAAAATCGACGCATTATTGACAGGAATGTACCCAAAATGATGACAGAAACACAAGTTAAAGCTACGTATGATACGAGCCCATTACCCTCAAGCTACTCCTACAAGCGAATGCTTTGTATGTGTTTTTACTAATATTTTCAATACCACGCGAGTGTTGCTGAAGACACTCACCGTGGGTTCACTGCCAGCTTCGGCGTCCGCCATCGTGCAATGTGGTGTAGTCTACTCAACGCCTGCTTCACTTCTGGGTAGACGTTTTGGAGTGTTGGCAATCTGAGTTCGAGAAAACTGGTTTAGGCGACCATGAAATACAAGCAATAATTTCGTGATGGGTGGGGGACCAGGGTCAACCGTTACGTTGGACCGATATTGGAGCGACGTTGGACCGATGTTCACCGCTCTCCGCGCCGGCATTCACTCTCGCCACCCGCGAGCCGTCTGTGTCTCCGTGCGTACGTTCACTCTCGGCATTACTCTCGTCGTCGCGTTGGACTTTGTCCAACGGACGGTTGACCCTGGCTGTGCGAGCCACAGAAAAGGAAGTTTGCCCCTGGAATGTCTGTTGACGGATCTGTCAGCTATTTCCAGCTGGATTCTTTGAGATTATGATTGTTCGCATGGTTACAATGGACCGCTCTTCAAGCATTTTAGATGCTATTGCTCTTTCCTATGGTCATGTTAAAATGTCTTCATCTTATTTCATTTTTTCAGCTTTTTTTAATTCGTGCTCCGGATCAGCACCAATGAGTGAGTGTGCCTGTTTAACGAAAAAAATGTCTTCGAAGCCGCAGGCAAAGCTACTGCGAGACACGCCAACGGAGAGCTGGTGACGTTCAAAGCAGAATCTAAGTGAAACATGGCCATAGTCGATCAAATCACGCTGGCGCAAAAAAGTGGAGACTTAAGGCCGATGTCATAGTTTGCGAATCGAGCGATTCGCTAGCGAATCGCTCGATCCGAGCGTTGCGCCAGCGAATCGAACGTTGCACCAGCGAATCGAACTTTGTACCAGCGAGTCGAACTAGGTACCAGCGACTCAATAGTGGCGGGACCCAACGTTTAAAGGAAGCCCGCCACTTTCAAACAGTGTCCACTGCAAAGTCCCGCCACTTTCAAACAGCGTCCACTGTCACGTGACACTGTTTGAAAGTGGCGGGCTTCCTTTGAAACGTTGGGTCCGCCACTATTGAGTCGCTGGTACCTAGTTCGACTCGCTGGCGCAAAGTTCGATTCGCTGGTGCAACGTTCGATTCGCTGGCGCAACGCTCGGATCCAGCGATTCGCTAGCGAATCGCTCGATTCGCAAACTATGACATCGGCCTAAACAGACAGGGCGAGCGGGCCGCGAGTGCGGACTAACGCGTA